CTTCTTTTAAAAGTGTTGTTGCTGACGTGTGTGTTTTGTCAAGGCAGAAGCGCAAACTCCAGTTCCATTTCTTTCAAGACATACAAGTCCATCCAGTTGCCGTTCCTGCTGCAGGAAAAGGCGCGAAAGTACCTCCCCATGATGACCCAATCGTTCGCAAATTAAAATGGCCAGTTCGGCACTCGCTATGCCAAAGACGGCTGCGCAAATCGCTTTCCACTGCACAAATGCACCGTATCGTACAAAGATTTGATCCAGCAACTGCCGTGGATTATTCAAATTATACTTGCGGCGAAGATATGCCGTCATCTCGAGAGAACGTCGATTTTCACCCACTACCTTCTCTGCGCCCACTGACGAGGTGACAATGGCAGGATTGGCCACAGACACGGTTACCGATGCAGGCAAGCCAGAACATTCCCCGTTGCCTTGTCGTTCCTTCCTAATTTGATTGCAACGCTCAAGAAGTAGGGAGACAAGCCATGTTGTGAGGCAAGTTAACTCCAGGCTACATGTTTCACCATTCGATTTCTGTCCCTCATACCCGCGCAGCCGTAAGATTAAAAAAAGAATAAGCGGTTCCATGTCATCCGTCGCGACCCGTGAAAACTCCAGCAGCAGTGTATTCAAATACGGTGGGCCCTCCATTGCCAGTCCGTGCTGGGCTGCCGCCTCAAGAAAACGGCCTTGACGAAATAGCCGCTTTGCGTACACATGCCGAACACGCGGCAGTAGATCACATCTCTCCCTTTCCAAGGAAGAACAGGCAGCAATTCGTAGCGCCATGCCGTACAAAAAGTCCGTGTCGTAATGTAACATCGTACGTAGTCCCGCCTCTACGTGTCCTCCCAGTGTACCCATGTGTGGAATATTTACCACCTTATCCTTATGATTCCTGATCCACTCCTCAAATTGAAGCTCGTCGTTGGTGCATCCCAAGGGCAGTTTATAAGATGTTGTAAAAAAAGATGACAAAGACTCGCTGCTGCGGGAAGGAATAACCGACATAGGACTTAAAGGACTTTCTGGGCCCGGCGGTGTGCGGAGACTTACCGGCTGCAACGGAACTCGGGGTCGCCAGGAAACATACTGCGGCAACGTCATCTGTTGACTGTTCAACTCCATCGTCCGTGCCTCTCCTCCTTGTGTGCCCTCCGTCTCGGTATTCTCAGAGGTGATCTTATTCATGGCAACAACGTTGATAGAATTGACGGCATCCATTAGCTGTGCAACGTATGCGCACGACGACGACGAC